GCGCCTGTCAGAAGTGGGCAGGAATTCGAGTGCGCTGTTCCCACGGCGCGAAAAGCACGGGCCGAAAGCTGCGGAGACTCCCCGCCGGCCCGGGCCGCGCGCAGGGAAGGGTCACGGGCCTGCCCTCGCCCGCGCGCGTCCGCGCCCCGTTTGCTAGAAAGTGCCCGCACACGCTCCCCATCCAGCCGCGCCCTCACCGCCTCTTTTCAGCCCCTCGGCCCAGAGCCCGCGAGACCTTGGTTGGCGGAGGGCCCCGCTGTAAGCGCGGGGGTGCTTCGACGTGAACCCCAGAGCTGCGGGGCTCCCGGGAGAGGGTGACCGGCCAGGGTGGCCCGGGCGCCTCGGACTGCGTAGCTACGCCGCCCCCTGCCGGTGCCCCGCTGAACTGGGTTCCAAACCCGGAAACCCGGCTGAACCCCAGAGGCAGCTGCCGGCCCCCTCGCGCTGGGCTTTAAGCCTGGAGAAGAGTAGAGTGAGCCCTACTACACGGTGCCCCTAAACTCACCACTTTCCTTGCAAGCACGCCCTTGCGCTCCCCTGCCCCGCCATCCACACAGGAAGGCGTCCCGCGTGCACATGCGTGTGAGTGAGTGTGTGTGTGTGTGTGTGTGTGTGTTTGAGCTCCTCTGCGCAGAACACCAAGGCAAGTGCTGTGAGTTTAAGAATGACTACATCTCCCCAAGTCTACTAAGCGTGCCACGCCTGTACATAATGAAGGTTCATTTACATCCGTGCTAGGAGAGAGCTGTGGTTCCAGCACAGAGGTGGTGGGTTGACTACAAAGTGATAACAAATCCAGAGAGCAGTGTCGTTTGCACTGGATCTTGCAAAAGAGCGAAAGTTCTTTAGTTGTCAAAGATTGGAGGTCGTTATGCACACAGGGATGAGCGTAAAGAATGGGAGGATTTTGAGATAGTAAAGTTTGTGCGGCCCGCAACACTTACTGAGCACTACGGGCCGTACTCTGCTAAAAAGGCACGTCATCTGACCTTAAATTCAGGAAGAAGCGATCCTACGTCCTAGTGATTTGGAAGCAGGGAAACTAAGAGACTTAGAAACTAGCCCAGCTGCTACTAGCGACGAAGCAGTCAAGCCCTGAGCAGAGTTCACTTGACTGAATGTGTTTTAGTTTTTATTGCTGGGAATAGTACGTACGTGGCTGAAGCGCTATCTTCTCATTGAAAACCTAGGCAAGCACAGATAGCAAAAAAGGTTTCGAAAGGAAGATTTTTAAAATACCTCATTCAAAGGCTGATATGAATTCTTTGGCTTCTCAAAACAAGGCCAAAGGGGTTGATCATATATTAGATAGTCTGCACCATAAAAGAAGGAGACAAGGACTGAGCTCCACTGTCATTATTTTGTACTTTATTTTAACTTTTCCTCACAATACGAAAATACAAAGCTGAAAGTGTCTGCGCATGCCCTAATTTTTTTTTTCCCCCTTGCAGGTGAGATGAGTCCCATTGATTTACAAGCTGCTTAGTGGTCTTGACCCAAGGCCCAGCCCTGGTTGGCACTACCCCACCAGCCACTGCAGCCTGGTTCTCTAAGGGGGGGCCCTTTCCTCAGCAGGGGCTACCTTCTTTATCCAGCTGCTCCCAAGAAAACAGTGTTCTGCAGAAAGATAGAAGCGGAGAATGAAGTTAGACACCAGGGGTCTGCTGTATGATTCCCTGTACCAGGAAAAGATGCGTCCCAGCGACCGTAGAACGACCCTATGTCCCACTCACTGTCAGCGCTTTGTGGTAGATAGTTCCTTACACCTTTAGGAAAGCATTCTACTCCAGCCATAATCCAGATCCCAACTGCCTCCGGCCCTAGAACATCTGGGACATCGTATGGTTGGCAGTCTGTGGGCAGTTTAATCTTTGGATTCATGTGTACCTAATGCATTGTTATCACTTGAGATACAGTGTTGAATGAAAGCATAGGTTGTTCACTGTTCTGGCTTCACCGCGACACACTATTCACATTCTGAGGAAATGTGTTCATGCCTACACTAACCTGCAGATTTTGTAATTATAAGCATTAGGGTCAGCCAAATAGCTCAGCAGATTAAAGCACCTGCAAGCAGGCACAGAGGCTGAGGGTTCGATCCCTGGGCCTGCCACAACAGCCCCATTCCCAGGGCACCCTGAGAGGGTGATTGAGACTAGGCCTCATGGCATGCTCCTGTAATCCCAGCTCTTGGGAGGCTGTAAACAGGCGGATCACTACGAGTCTGATCTACCCTGAACACCCTGTAGACCCTTCCCTAAAACACACACACACAAAAAAAAAAAAAAAAAAAAAAAAAAAACTACAAGCATTAATTTACTTTTTCCTTTTTTTAAATTTTTTAAATTTTTTTTTAAGGAACCTGCCTGATGAAGAATTTACTTTTACCCACTTAAAAGAAAAATAAACCTCTGCTAGTATAATGTGACCACAACAAAACTGAAACCTAACCAGTCTAGGTTGCTTTCTGAGTGAGCAAAACCTCATTATAGGAAATTTTTAAAGCAAAGCCTTATTTTGTAGGGAATAAAGCACTTGTAATCAGTTGATCTTAACAAGTCAATTTGAACTTGGTACACTAACAAAGATTCAACCTTAATAATAGTTTCCATTATTGAATTTCTTATATGTCAAGCAGTGTGATCTCAATATTTTAGAAACATTGTTTCTTTTAAGTTTTCTTCAAAATCAGAGCTTCACATATTATATTCCCATTTTCCAAATAGGAAAAAGGGCACAAGAAAGTTAAGTTACTAAGAGAAGGGGCAGAGCCTTGGATCAGACCCATGTGCATGACTTCCTTATGCTCGGGCAGTCTTCTAAAGTCTAGGAGTTGGCCCTCTCCCTTTTTAGACTAAAAGTTGAAGTGGTGCTACTCTCCATTTTCTGGATGTTCTGATTGGATGTGACTGAGAGGGCCAACATGTTTTATCCCAGAGCAACTGCAGAGGGCTGGAATGCACGAGACCTGACTGGGCTGATGGGAGAGTGCTTCCCCAGCCAAGTGTCCTCCGCAGCACTGGGCCAGTAGCCAGCTAACGGCCTTTTTTTTTTTTAATGAGCAGAATATATTTATTGAGGGAAAGAAAGTTCCTATCCAAGAGAGGGACAGGAGGGGGGCTCCAAGCAGGTTGTCCTCAAGCTAACAACTTTATGGAGGGCTATTTTTAAGAAACCTACAGGGAAATGGAGCGTTTGGAGACAAGCTGGTCCCTCCCCCTCCTTTTCTCTGCTTCTTGTGTTCTCATAAATGGTTTACCTGAGCAGATGGAAAATAAACATAAAATTATTTTTCTAAGCTCATAGCACAAGAGAGGCATTCATAGAAGTGCTGGTCAGCCCAGAGCGTGTCTCCCTCGTGGCCTGCAAGCCAATGTCCCTGTCATGATCGTGTCCTGCCTTGGTCTTTCCACGGCAGCTTGTACACTTTCTCTCCATTACTTGTCCACCTTCCACAGCTTCCGCCCTTTGAACCTGTGCACAAAAGCAGCACGACTCAGGCGGAGCAGCACGCTGTGCAGGCAAAGCAGTGGCGCTGTAAAAAAGGCACCGCGCCCCTGCCTGGCCTTGTTCGCTTCCTCTGACGAGCAGATTTTGGTCATTTCTGCAAGCACGGCTTTCCTTTGCCAAACAAGCGCACGGAGTAGCATTCACTGCACAGTAAGTTAGAGGGCTCCCCGCCGTCCCCCTGGTGTTAGCAGAGTCTCAGCTGATCAAAGTGCTTCATGTATGAAGTCAGAATTCACTTGGGAGACGAAGTTTTTAAGAGGAATTGGTGATTTTGAAATGATTCTTTCTATATTTCTTAAGGGAAATCAATACTTATTTAGGGCTTCTAAAGGACAACATACTATGTCATACGATTTTCAGGCTAATCTGAAATAATAATTTAATAATTGAATGTTACTAATAATTAAAAAATTAATTCTTCTAACTTTACAGCCCTTTTTCTCAACCTTGTCTTATTTTATCCTCAGAATTATTCTGACTACTATGCAGTCTAAATTTCACAGATGAAAGAAAGCCTTCTGATTTCCACCATGTTTATACAGCTAGATATGGAGAAGTTACTCACTTATGGGCCAGCAACTTTTCTATGAGCTGCACTGTGTGAGTGGATTTAAAGGATCAATAACAAATAGCTAGGTTGGAAGGAATCCTTTTGCTACACGGAGGGTCCTTTATGTGGGCTATATTCCAACCTGTCAATAGCTTATGAACGTTGTTATCCTACTGTTGAGCATCTTATTAATATAACTGTGTTTTTTCTTTTGTTGTTGTTGTTGTTTTTGTTTTTTTGTTTTTTGGGTTTGTTTGGGTTTTTTTGTTTTTGTTTTTGTTTTGTTTTTTTTGTAT